ATAAAACACCACAAAGTTGTGGTTACATTGAAAAATACATGTTGTAGTCGAAAGGCAACACTCTGTATTTTTGTGCCTAGTGGTAGACATGCAGCTGCCCCCTCGCCCCCAGCCCCCACTGCGACAAAATGTCACTTAGTTGCGAGGCATTGAAGACATGCAGTTGAATCTGGGGGCAATTTTTTGTGACCAGATGGCAATATTTTCAAATTTCAAAATTAAAATTGTTGTTTAATAAATATTAAAAACAAAATGGATAACAAGAATCTTGTTGTTAGCAAGAAAAAGGTTTAAATTGATCATTAAAAAAGGCAACAAAAAGTGATAAGATAAAATGAAAAAAAATGTACAGCAAGGATCTTGTTGTTAGCAAAAAGAAGGTTTGAAAAGCCAATTAAAAAGAAGACAAGGAAAAAGTAATAAGACGAAATGCAAAAATAATAATAAATGCCACAGGGACCAGACAAAAAGGTTTAAATATAAAAAACCTGTTTAAAAAAACATGTCAAACAACATGCATTAACATACAAAAATGGGAATATATTCGCATATATACGTACATACACATGAAATAAACATGGTCAAAACATATTTAAAATAAATTATGAACAAAAAAATGCCCATTTTAAAATTCTATGTTAGAACATTGCAGATTAAAAAAAACAATACAGTGGAATATATTGTTCATAAACCATGAAACAATGTTTAAGGAAAAGGAATAAGAAATATCAAGAAATGTAAAGAATGTAGCAAAAAAAAGTAAAATTAAAACATAAAAACAACGGAAATTTTAAAAAGAAACAAAATCAAAACAAAAAATAGAAATATGAACAGTTTGACGTAGGTGTATATTAGGTACTTGCATTCAACCCACCAGCCCACTAACTCCGCGGTCAAACCTGCCCCAGTTTATACTACAAAAAAAGTCAACAACGATTGAAAAAAAAAAGAGGAACAAAAGGCGAAAGCAATCTATCACGCATGTCCAGCACGCCCCAATGAACAACCAGACCCGACAGAACAAAAAGAAGGACAAAAGGAAAGAGCCCAACCAAAAAACAGAAGGAAAAAAGCAAACGGACTGGGCATGCGCCTTAATGGGCCGAATTCAAACAAGAAAGTCAGCTGCGCGAATCTTTAAGAGGCAGGCGATCCAAAGGCTGGGGGGAGAGCTCCTATACACCGCCCGTGTGCGTCCGATCGACGCAGCTTCGCTGAAGCGACACGCAAACGGGCCGGCCGAAGCATCGAGCAAAAATTCGAAAAAGAAGCGCATTAACATACAAAAATGGGAATATATTCGCATATATACGTACATACACATGAAATAAACATGGTCAAAACATATTTAAAATAAATTATGAACAAAAAAATGCCCATTTTAAAATTCTTTGTTAGAACATTGCAGATTAAAAAAAACAATACAGTGGAATATATTGTTCATAAACCATGAAACAATGTTTAAGGAAAAGGAATAAGAAATATCAAGAAATGTAAAGAATGTAGCAAAAAAAAGTAAAATTAAAACATAAAAACAACGGAAATTTTAAAAAGAAACAAAATCAAAACAAAAAATAGAAATATGAACAGTTTGACGTAGGTGTATATTAGGTACTTGCATTCAACCCACCAGCCCACTAACTCCGCGGTCAAACCTGCCCCAGTTTATACTACAAAAAAAAGTCAACAACGATTGAAAAAAAAAGAGGAACAAAAGGCGAAAGCAATCTATCACGCATGTCCAGCACGCCCCAATGAACAACCAGACCCGACAGAACAAAAAGAAGGACAAAAGGAAAGAGCCCGACCAAAAAACAGAAGGAAAAAAGCAAACGGACTGGGCATGCGCCTTAATGGGCCGAATTCAAACAAGAAAGTCAGCTGCGCGAATCTTTAAGAGGCAGGCGATCCAAAGGCTGGGGGGAGAGCTCCTATACACCGCCCGTGTGCGTCCGATCGACGCAGCTTCGCTGAAGCGACACGCAAACGGGCCGGCCGAAGCGTCGAGCAAAAATTCGAAAAAGAAGCGCACTCTTGGAATCGAACTCCCGACCTCATTCTGCATTCCAGCGAGCCAAACCAGCCGAGCTAGCGACCCACATACATATTAACTGAGCGCCACCCAATAAGTATAAAAGACAGCGGCAAATGATTTTTTTATGGAAATAAATATTTTTAGTATCATGTTGAACAGATTTTAAAATACAGTGTTTTTGTAAAAACAATGGACAATTCAAAAACACAAATGAACAGTTTGTAGTATACGTTGAACAAATTTTTCATATACGATGAACAAAATTTAAATACACAATGAACATTTTTCCATATACGTTAAACAATTTCATAATATACGATGAACATTTTTTTAATACACGATGAACATTTTTATAATGCAAGGTGAACTATTTCATAATATACGATGAACATTTTCTACTATGAAGATTATTTTAATACACAGTGAACTTTTTATCTAATACACAGTAAAGAGAAAAAAGAGAAAGAGAAAATAAAAAAAGGAAACTTAAAATAAAAAAGGAACCAAAACAGAAAAAATAAAAAAACCGGAACAAAACAACTGAAAACCAGACAAAGCAGTGGAAAAACTGCAAGCAAAAACCATAGAAGAAAAACGAAAAAAAAACCCGCAAGGAGCAGAGAAGGAAGCAGCAGCGAACGAATCAAACGGCAAAGGCAAATCCCGTACATGGGCCGGCCCAACTGGAGGCTCGCCTCAGCGAAAGCAAAACATTCTGACGCTAACGAGCGTCAAATAGGGTTTGCCAGGCTGGGGTATCGACTGAGACTTCCTTAAAACTCAGTCGACTGAGTTTTAGCGTATCCGTTAACAAATCAGTCCGGTGGTTCTGGACAAGCACATCTGGCATGTTTCATGTTATTTTTGTTTTTACGTCCTGATCTATATCATCCCCAGAAGAAAATCTCACATGTTGTATCATATTATTTTCTCCACATTATCTTTCCAGTACACATAGTTATACGGGACAAGACAACATGTGATCTACTCCTGCCTCCTGCGACCTCTCAGCTAGGGTTTCCTTGCCTCTTGCCGGCGCCGCCGCCGGTCCGCATCATATCCGATGGTCCTTGGATCATGGAGGCGCGCTGGATCCCAGGCTTTACCGGCGGGAGGGTTCCTTTTTAGGCCTTTTTTGAAGTTTTGTTAGGATTTGTGCCGTGCTTAGGAAGGCAAGGCGGAAGCAGCTTCTCGAAGATGGAATAAGGTCCTCGCCGTGTACCCCCTGTCCCGGTGATGTTTCTAGCATCGTCGGAGGGCATATGGAGGTGTGTCTCCGGCGGATCTCGTGGGATCCGGTCGGTGTTTGTCTCCAGTGGATCCGCTTGGACCCGGTCTTCGTTCGTCTACGTCTATGTGCCTGCAGGTTGGATCCTTTCGATCTTGGATTTTTTTTCATCGGCGGTTGTTGTTCTGGTGCGCTGATCCTATGGGGCCTTAGCATGACGACTTCCCAACACCATTAGCTTTGAAAAACAACAAACTATCGTTAACAAACAAAAGGTGATTGACACGTGGAGCCAAAGACGCCACTTGTAACCCACCAATTTATGATGACTGATCTAAAATTTTTTTACGAGGTACGAAATACCCTCTTATGCCAGCTGACCGGGAACAAACGCGGATTGTTTTGCGGATGTAATATCTAGTAGTACCAGCTTCAACCGGTTTGCAATTACCTTTGAAGCTATCTTATATAGCACATTGCACAAGCTGATGGACTGAGAGAAATATTGGATTTCTTTTACCTTCGGAATGAGAGCCAAAACAATATGGTTAATTTCTTGTGCACTTCCTTTTTCTTCCACTATTTTAAGGACGGCCACAGTCACTTCAGCACCACACGCACCCAAATGGTTTTGGGAAAAAATTTGATAGGTAAAACGTCCGGCCCGGGGCTTTTGAGAGGAACATCTCAAAACGATAATACTACATTGACGGGCAAATTTAACGGACTTTCACGCGGTGAAGAACATGCGCTAATCTAATTGGCCCCCCTAATTTTAAGTGGTGGGGCCCGTCCTACTTAACTGAATCACATCCATTAATCTCTAATAGTTCGTAAAGCCCCGCTAAAGTGCCCGTGTGTGTGTGTGTGTGTAGCATTACTCATCTCAAAAAGAGCATTTGTAGCTTCTTCCTCCGTGCAGGCCGTGTCCAGGAGGGCATGCAAATCAGATTTTTAGCTTTATTCTAAATTTAATCCCAACCCTTCAACCCTTGTCATGCCCCTAATGATTACGTAAACTATAGGTTAGGTGTAGCAAAGCTCGTAAGAAGGTGATGAGATGATTCCCAGCCCAAGTGGCTTAATTGAATTAAAGCAAGAAGAGACGTGTGCATCGGGGCTTTGCAGGCTCAACTTGCACCGGGGCAGACTCAACTTGCACTTGGATAGCCGTACAAGTTGCCAATGGTATGATATGGTACTATGGCGCAGGAGTGAGTCACAAGTCCATTACACAATACAGTATGAACGAGCGTATCAGCAGTCTAGTCTCCGCTCCGCTGGCGTGTATACACATAGAGTTAGTTTAGGCTGGTTGTAATGGGTAGTATTATAAGTTAGTATCATGCATATGATATTAGTGTATGATACTACCTCCCTAGTGCATATATCATATGCTAGTATCATAAATGACTTTATTTATTGCCATGCATGACACATACTAGTGTAGCATTTATTATGATACGGTATCATGATATGATACTTAATCCTTTCTTACTTCATTTAATTCTATGTCACCTCATCAAAGTTGTCTAGTTGGCATGCATAATACTAATACTAGCTATGATACTCCCATTATAACCAGCCTTAAGGAACACAAGTGGCCTGACGTAAAAACAAATATAAATAGGGGTAGTTGAACTACAGGTAGTATGAATGCATGCTTGATTGGTGATTGCTTCCCATGCCGATCAGCTAAAATACCTCACATCCATCAGCGCATTCACTTCATGCATCATGGCCACATTCGTTGGTCTTCTTCTTCTTCTTCTTTGTCCGCTGCTGCGCTCCTGTGCAGCAGCATCGGCGGGAGTAGGACACACGCTGGGCGCCGGGTCCTCCCTGTCCGTGGAAGACCACGACCGGCCCTTCCTGGTGTCGCCGGACGCCACCTTCTCATGCGGCTTCCTCCCAGCCGGGAAGAACGCCTTCTACTTCTCCGTCTGGTTCACCGCGGCCACGGACCGGACCGCCGCCTGGACGGCCAACCCCGGCGCCCCCGTCAACGGCCGGGTCTCCCGCATGTCCTTCAGCGCCGACGGCAAGCTGTCCCTCGCCGACGCCAACGGGACGACCGTGTGGGACAGCAAGAACGCCGGCAACAAGCACTTCACCGTCTCCCTTCTCGACACCGGTAATCTCCTCGTCGCGGACCCCTCCTCCGGCCGTGCCGTGTGGCAGAGCTTCGACTGGCCCACGGACACCCTGCTCCCGTCGCAGCCGCTGACCAAGGACACGAGGCTCGTCGCCGGCTACTACTCCCTCTACTACGACAACGACAACGTGCTGCGGCTCTTGTATGACGGCCCGCAAATCGCCAGCATCTACTGGCCTGACCGGGATATAGGCGTGTTCGGGAGCGGCCGGACCAACTACAACAGCTCACGCATCGCCGTCCTCGACGACACCGGCGTGTTCCTCTCCAGCGACAACCTCCGAGTCGAGGCCTCCGACCTGGGCGCCGCCGGCGTCAAGCGGCGGCTAACCATCGAGCAGGACGGAAGCGTGAGGATGTACAGCCTGGACGCCGCCGGCGGATGGGCGGTCACGTGGGCTGCCGTGAAGCAGCCGTGCTCCGTCCACGGGCTGTGCGGCAAGAACGCCGTCTGCGAGTACCTGCCGTCCCCACGCTGCTCCTGCGTGGCGGGGTACGAGATGGTGGACCGCCGGGACTGGAGGAAGGGCTGCAACCCCACCTTCAGCCTCCCCGCCGCCACCGCCACCAACTGCAGCACGTCGGAAAAGCGGTTCACGTTCGTCAAGGTGGCCTCCACTGACTTCTACGGCTACGACATCGGGTACAACAGCTCCGTCACGTTCGAATATTGCGAGAGCATCTGCTTGAGCATGTGCTCCTGCGCCGCCTTCGCCTACAAGAAGGATGGCACCGGCCAGTGCTACCCGAAAGGGGTCCTCTTCAACGGTTACACGTCGTCCACCGCCCCCGGAAACATATATCTCAAGGTGCCCACCGACCTCAACGCCTCGGCACCGCCGCCGTCCATGGCCCTCGACTGCAGTCTTGATGGCTTTGATACGGCCATCGACCCGCCAACGTACGTCGACACGTATGGGGCACTAAGAAGCGGCCCCAACTTGTCCTACCTCTTCTGGTTCGCCGCGGTGCTGGGATTTCTCGAGCTACTCTTCGCCGCCACGGCATGGTGGTTCATGTCTGGCCAGGAGAGCATGCCCAGTTCGCTGGAGGCAGGCTACCGGCTGGTCATGGGGACCCAGTTCAGGAGGTTCACGTATCGAGAGCTCAAGAAAGTGACCGGGGACTTCAACGAGGTGCTCGGCCGCGGCGGCTCCGGCGTGGTGTACCGCGGCGTGCTTGACAAGACCACCGTGGTGGCGGTGAAGGAGCTGACAAACGTGCTGCAGGGCGAGGAGGAGTTCTGGGCGGAGATGACCGTGTTTGGGAGGATCAACCATATCAACCTGGTGAGGATCTGGGGGTTCTGCTCCGAGGGAAAGCACAAGCTGCTGGTATACGAGTACGTGGAGAACGGGTCGCTCGATAGGCACCTATTCAGCGAGGACAGCAGCAAGGCGCTGGCATGGAGAGAGCGGTTCAAGATCGCGTTGGGCGCGGCCAAGGGCCTAGCCTACCTCCACCATGAGTGTCTAGAGTGGGTCATTCACTGCGACGTCAAGCCGGAGAACATCCTACTCACTCGAGACCTCGACCCAAAGATCGCCGACTTCGGGCTGTCCAAGCTGTCCGGGAGGAAAGCCGTCGGCGACGGCGTGCAACTCTCCCAGATGAGGGGGACGACGGGGTACATGGCACCCGAGTGGGTGCTGGGCCTGCCGATCGACGCCAAGGTCGACGTGTACAGCTATGGTATCGTGCTTCTGGAGATCTTGATGGGAAGCAGGATAACAGAACAGAGGACTGTGGACGGCAAGGAGCGGCTACAGATGAACCAGATCGTGCAGGCGCTGAAGCAGGTGGTGGCGAGCGGAGACATCATGTCATTGGTGGACAGCAAGCTGAACGGACAGTTCAACCCTCGACAGGCCATGGAAATGTTGAAGATCTCCTTGTCATGCGTGGAGGAGAGGAGCAGCAGGCCGGCCATGGACGACATCTTCAAGGCTCTTATCGCGTGCGATGACGAGGACGAACACCCTGCGTACTTGTCGTGACTTCGATTCCTTACTATATTAATTCGTTTATTTGAGTGAATGCTGAACAGAAAAGGTAGTGAGATGGTCAATATGGCTGTCTACATGCGTGATGTGAAAAGAAAAGATTAAAGTTAGACGTGCACTACTTGACTACAGTTGATGTATCGTTTGCACCTACCTATAGCACTACTAGTTGTTTTCTTTAGCTATTTTTCGCGAAGCAGAGACCAAGGGGAACGGTACGGAGTAGTATTTAATTTGACTAGGACGCACAAATGCTGCCTGTCCGTGTCACGCGAGCAATTGTTTTTGACGAGTCTCTCTTGGCAGGTGGTGGCACGGAGCAGACTCGATGGGGACGTTCTCTGCCTACAATGTAAACACGTACGGTGGGTGTAGGGATGAAAACGGAACGGAAACAGCTGAGTGATATTATATTTGTTTTCATATTTTTTTGCAAAAGCAGAAACAAATACAAAAACACCGAAAATGAAAACGAAAACAGATACTATCGGAAACAGACACGAGGCGAATACAGAGCGGACGTAAAAACAGAAATGGGCATTAGCGGATATTAAAGAGCCCTTGAATCATATAGGAATGCACACAAAAACAAAAGAATTAATGAATTGGTAACATGGCTAGAAAATAATATGATTATGTTAGTAACTTAGCAAAGTATTGTAGTAATATTGGACAATTGCATCTAGGGTCTAACTGAGTACGGGTGTGGTAGTAGAAGTTGGGATTCAAATGATCCATTATGCTCATTGTGTCATTGTGTGTTGTTTGATGGTTGGGCTACAAAGCAGCCATAAGCCTATAGTCAAAACAGAAATTTCATATTCATGAAAACGGAAAGTTCCGTTTCCATGTCTGTTCCACCGAAAAACACCGTTTCGTTTTTGTTTTCGTTTCCGTATAAAATATTTCATTTCCACTTCTGTTTTGCATATTTCCATTTTCGTTTTCATATTTCCTCTCCGTTTTCAATTTTTTTCCGGAAAAGCGGAAAGTTACCACTCCATTTTCATCCCTAGGTGGGTGTGAGTTAAGGCACAAGGCATGAAGAGCATGCTTCCTTGTACACGCCTTGGCTCTTTCGTGACCGCGATGTTGGACTTCTTTTCCCTTCTTTCTTTCAGTCAGAAGAAGACGCAATGTTGGACTTCTATATCCTTGATGATGTGACAAGCCGGTCACATATCTTCCCAACAAAACTCCTCTTCGCGTCATACCTTTTGGACCGGATTACAACTCTGCAGCCGAGTTGGCGCCACCACCGATAGCAGAGTCCCGATCGATCGATCAAGAAGAAGAGTTGTGACACGATCAGGGCGGCGGTTTGTAGCAGTCCGGTACTTGCAACACGGGCCGTACGTGCAAATATAATAAAGGTGGAAAAGATAACAGAAACAACCCTCACGCAAAAAGGCAGGCGCAGATATATAGTACTCCGATCGATCGATCGAACCGTCGATGGCACACGTCGCGAGCCGGGCGAACACGATGGAGGGGCTGCCGGACGAGGTGGTGGTCGAGATCCTGTTGCGCGTGCCGGACGTCCCGGACCTCTTCCGCTGCGCGGTGACGTGCAAGCGATGGCAGCGCATCATGGGCGACCCTTCGTTCCTCCTCCGCCGCTAGCCGGCGGCCGTGCACCGCCCGTCCTCGGATTCCTCGTCGAGCAAAGGCCCAATGGACGGACAGCAAGACGTACGTATATGCGTACGTGTGTGAGTGAAGTTAGCGGTGCACATTGTTGATTTCCTCCAAAACTGGGGTGAGGCGGATGATCACTTGTTGATTTTCATCAGGGTGTTGTAGTCAAGGCTGTCCCGTTGAAGATGATGGACTGGACGGCCTTCTTCATGTCACGCTTTGGCGGGTAGTAGTAGTAGCATCGAGCGACCTAAGATTGGGAGGAGCTATATTGGACCTTTTTTTTTTTTGAAAAAAGCTATATGTTGGACTCTTTTTCACAAACATATGTTGGACTTCTTGTTGGGAAGAATTGTCGAGTTAGTTATTTTCGCGCCAAATTGCTATGAGTTGTGCAGTGCCTCGGAAGAGCTACGAAAGTCTTCAAGCTTTGTGTGTGAGAAATGCTTTGGGAAAATTTATATTTTGGTTTACCCAAGTTACAAAAGTTGACATCTAGTTGCGCAAATTTTTAGCCTGACATTTAGTCCCTTGTTTTCTAAAGCAATGCGTTTTATATATACCATTAAAAATGTTCGCGTTTATAAAAGTGTGCATGTGTTTCAAACAAAATGTTTGTGACATCTTTCAAAAAAATTATCCAATGTAAAAAATGTTTTGTATCATAATAAAAACATGTTTCAATAATTTGAAAAAGGTGTAACTCGTATCATTTTTTTTTCAGAACAAGTATTTAAAAGACATGTATAAAAATGTTTTAGATGTATACAAAAATGTACAATGTGTATGACAAGATGTAGACATCAAAACATATATTTCAAAAAATCTAGATTGTGTATTTGAAAATATTAAATGTGTATAAAACAATAGCTCTGATGATAAGAAACATGTACATTGTGTATGAAAAATATAAACATGTGTTGAAAAATAAGAAAATAAGGGAAAGAATAATAGAAGAAAATCAAAGAAAGGACAAAAACCGAGACAGAAATAGAGGAAACCGAGGGAAAGAGGAAACGAGAAAGGAAAACCAAAGGAAAAAAATGAAAAAAATGAAGAAACACACAGTCAAAAAAAAAATGAAGAAACAGCAAAGAAAATAATGGTAATCGAAGAAAACCAAAGTCACATAGTTTGGTGTTGTGAGCTGAAGTAGACAATATAACAAGCTGAAACAAAAAGTGCATAGGTGATGTTTTTAAATTACTTTTGAATATTTGATCAACCAAATAAGCAAACAAACATTAAATAAAAGTAACTACGCAAAATAGATAACAAGTAAGAAATTCTCATGCTACAGCGCCAGAAATTTTGTATTTGAAATTTTTAATCTTGTATTTGAAAAATATTAATGAAGAACTTGAATAATGTTTAAAATATTTATAGAAAAAATATTGACCATGCCCTAAAAAAATGTCAAATTTGTATTGGAAATATTGTTAAAGGTGTATTAGAAAAATGTTCCTAATATATATACAAAAAGGTAGAATGAAAAATAAAAGAAACAAAGAAAAGCATAAAAATAAAAACCAAAAAAGAAACGAAATAAAGTATAGAAAAATGAAAATGGAAAAGAAAACCAAAGAAACAACTTCGAAAAGAATGGAAAAACTAAAAAACCAAAGAAAAAAGAAAAGAAAAAAAAAGAAAATACTGGGAGAAAACCGAATAAAACAGAAGAAAAATAAAGAAACCCAACTCTTCAAATGGTTCGCGCTCAGGTAGTATGACATGAAGTTGATGATGGCGTATTGACAAGCAACACTACAATCGAGTCCTTGCACAATCCTTTTTCTCTACCTTTTTCTTCCTTCGCGCGCAGATGCTAAAGTGCCCGACTGTTACTATAGGTCTCGACGCGAGAGACCCTTCGGTCTCGCTCAATACGAGACATAGCTTCCGTGCATCTCTCGACCCAAAATAGCGTTCGGAAGAAGAGTACACTACCCAAAACTGACTTTTTAGGGCTCGTTTGGTTTAGAGGAAACCAAAAGTTAGGCATAAGGAATAGTACATGATTTTGAAGATGACGCTTGTCATTTGAAGGATTTTCCTTGCTTCGTCCCTACACAAAAAGATGAGTTTTAAGTGAATGTATAGTCTTCCTGTACGGGTTTTCTATAAACCAAATGCATCTATAGAAAAATTTTATACTCTGAAATCCTTGTTCCTATGGTTTTCGAAAATCCTCCAATGAGGCCTTAGTGACGTCCCAGGATACTTGTGAAGGGCCCGAGGCCTCGAATTTAGTGGATGGGCCCGACCCCTCAAAACAAAAGCGGATGGGTCAAACGTCAGGAAAAGGGTCAAAATCCCTCATCCCAATCCCCGCGATGGACGCCGGCTCCCGTCCGGCGCCGCCGCACCCCACTTCCGGCGCTTGATCCCACACCCGCCGCCGCCCTCCCCATCGTCGTCCAGCCACTCGAGTTTGCGGCCAACGTCCCCAATCGACCGGCGCTTCCCGTCAAGCGCTGCCCGGTCGACGTCCAGCCGCCCCCTCGCCGCCCAGCCACTTTACCGCCGCTTCCATCCCCATCGACCGTCGCCCCTCGTCGTTCCAGGGCTAACCCTTCGACGTCCGGCAGCCCCCCTCACCGTCGAGCCACTCCAGCGCCGCCTCGCTCCCCATCGACCGGCGCAGGGCCTCCATCGTCTGCCGGATCTGCCTCACGGCCTCGTCCTCCTGTTTCCTCCCGGTCCAGCGCCTCCAAACAACCCAAAAAAGGTAGCAGCTTCCACACTTCTTCAGCGCGCACGATTAACCTGGGGATCGACTCGGGTTCTTGGTACCTCAGATCGAGACCTAATTATCCTGGGGTTGCTCACAATCGCACGTCCATCGCTCGCAGGTCCTACTGAAGATCGATGGAGACGCTGCCGGACGACGTCGTCGTGGAGATCCTGGTCCGCGTGACGGAGGTCGCAGCCCTATTCCGCTGCACCGCAACATGCAGGCGATGGCGCCTCCTCATAGCGGACCCGTCTTTCCTCCGCCGCCGCTGGCCGGAGGGCGTGAGCCTCCAGTCCTCCCTGCTCGGCTTCTTCGCCTTGCAACAGCCCCGTGAGGAACCAACAGAAGGGAGCTCTACGACGCCCATGCCGCTCTTCACCCCGGTGCCATGCTCCCCCCACCGCTTCCTCGCCATCCCTGATCAGCCTCGAGGCAGCCAGCCAGTGGTGCTTGCCTCGCGCGGTGGCCTTCTTGTTGTGCGCTTCGTGCCACTCGACGCCATCAGCATGTTCGAGAAAATCATGATCCTGGCTGTGTGCGATCCAATCGCCGGCACAAGCCGTCGGCTGCCTCCGTTGAAGTGCAGTAGGTCTTTCCGAATAGAAGGATGCACCCTTCTAACCGGTGCGGATTGTCGCCCGACCAAACGGCGAGGGGTGTCGCCGTCGGTCTACTCGTCCTTCAAAGTGTTAATCATCAGTTACGACGGACGGTACAATCTCCATGTGTTTGCGTCCAATGAGTTGGGCTGGAGGACGTCTAGAAACTGGTTTGAACCTGTTGAGTATGCCGGACGTGTGGTGCCCCAGCAGATCAACATCGTCGTGTGCCGAGGCATGGCACACTGGCTCTTCAAGTACTCGTCAAACTTCTACACACTCAACGTGTGCGCTAAGACCACGCGGATGTCTATAACAGAGCTCCCTGTCACACGGAACCAGCTCGGCTTCAAGTTTTCAAGTGCACTGCTTAATGTCACCAACGATGGAAGGCTATCGCTGCTTGGTTTATACAGGGACTGCAGCTGGCTGGAGATGTGGACACATGAAGGTGACAACAAGAGTGTAGATGGCATGGCAGACTGCTGGCACCAAACCAAGATGATTGAGCTAATACAACCCAAGCAGAGTACGGTCGACCTGGTGCAATGCGTGTGCGTGAGCGAGATGAGCGGTAAACTGCTCGTAAAGGACAATCAAGATTGCATGTACATTGTAGATCTCCAAACTGGGGCGATGGAGACTGTCACTGACTGGTTTTGCGGCATTGTCACGATGGCTGTCCCATTTGAGATGGATTGGCCGACCTTCTTCATGTCTCGCTTGGCGGGTGGTAGGATCAAGCGGAATAAACTGAGAGGAGCTATATCGAAAATTGCTTCCACTTTTTGCAAACCAATAGTTGTGGCAATTATCTTTGGGTTAATTGTTATGAGTTGGGATCATGAAGAGCTACAGGAATCTTAAGATCTGGTTGTGGCAGACTTAATGAAGATGCAAGTTAATTTGTCATGTGTACCTGCGCATTGGCTACGAGATTGATCATGGTGCAGCGTGAAGGCAAGGGACAGATGTTGCAAGGGTTGCCCTGCTAAATCAGACCAATAGGATACAACTGCGCAGAATAATTTGGTCTAGTGGTGTAGAATATGGCCTCTGTTTTATTCTCAGTTTTAACATGTGCCTGTTTAGACTTGGTGTGCTACTGCTAGCTGAACCTTTGATGTTCTGTTGAACAAATAGTAATGAGGTGCTGAGAACCAACATTGGACTCAATGGAGCTATTTTACAAATATTATCCCATGGATTTATTGGTGTAGTCGTTTGTATTATTATGAGAATCCCCATTATCAAAGAAGAAAACTTCACAGCTAATTGTGATCGTAATTGACATTTCATTTGCACAAGTTGCATTATCTCCTGGATTGCTGCTTAATTTGCTTTTTACGTTCTTTGCTATAATTAGAGATTAAGGTAAAACTTGTGGCAGATGACCAGAACACATGTATGCATTGAGCAAGCATTTCTTTAAACCTAAAATTAGATATTTTTGTGGAATTTATGTATGCAATCATCATATTCGATACCTCCTGAATTATGGTCTTGTGGGTCTGATTGTGTTGGTGGGATCAATACACGTGCCGGTGAATTACGCGGCCAGCACAACATGCAAATAAATAAGAGGAAGTGAGCATGAATATACAAGGGGACATCAAGTTAATATTGGAGTGAAGATGAATTATGTTATGATCCTGTCTGACATTCACCTGCACCTTGCTCTCTGTTTTCCCGTCGTGGAGCCCTAATCTTGCTTGCCAACTGAGCAAAGTTTCACAGCAGTTCTCTCTGATTAATTAGGTTCTTTTCCAGGAAATGCTTCAATTGGAGAAACTGGCATATTTTATTCAGAAGATTTTTAGATGTCATTGGTTGCAGGATATCTTGTTTAACCACTCCTTAGGATCTGGTAATGATCAGCCTAAATTGTTTTAGACAACTTGAACCCACATGTCAGTGCCCAGGTAGCGTGCCACCCATTTTTTCTATTTGGACCGGTTCAGTATTGTTCACTCAGGTTGGCTTGTATACCTTCTTTCTTAGGGTTGGAAAGCATTTTATTCAATCAAAATGTTCGACGGGCCTACTAGATAGCCATATGTGCCTTCCAAAATCTATAATAGCTGCTGCTTCAGACAAATTATGACCTTCAACATTACAATATAGCTTCTCATGGATGATATGCACTGAGGTAAAATCCTCCATCTTCTGAATTCCCTTGATGATTACTCCTGATTTTCCCAGATGGACACCTTGGATATGCTTAACTGGAGCTGCACAACCAGTAGATATAACAAGCCGCTGGCAACAAATATCTGCAGCCAAAGATAGAGCTTCACTGCACATCGTCGATTCCAGGATTTCCGGATCAATCATATCAGCTATACATACCGCCAAGCTCCAAGATATGCATCAGTTTCATCTTCATAGATCGCCCTATTGGACCCCTGTCTCCATGTCTTCCCACAGCTGCATCAACATGTATTTTGACTGATCCCCGGCTTGGGGCACACCATTTTCTTTCGGCTGGAGAAGGTTTCTATTAAGTCATACACCATGTAGCATTGTATAAATGAGAAAGTGGAATGGCATGGTGACACTGACATAGTTTTGGATTGTATGGAGTGAGCGAGGCTGCATTCTTCTGACGGTGGCGACTACTTCCATGTCTTTCATCTCCCCGCTGGTGCTGCCTTCTGCTCAAGACGTTTCATCCTTGGTGTTTCAGGCCATGCCTCATTCCTTTTCTTTTGCCTGTAACTTTTTTTTTGCTTGTAAGCTGTTGCAACACCTTGTATCTTTGCCGTTCTCTCATCTTTTTTCTTTTCTCTGTAAGTGGCTCTTGTTCTAATCCTGGCCTGTTGATGGCTTTTCAATTTCACTTCTGGACAAGATTTATTCCCTACACGCAGACTGGCTCCACACTTAGACGATTGAGCTAAACCGACCCCAACAAGGTTGGATCATCCTGGCGCAATGCATCTGCATGGGTGAGATGGGCGGCGCATTGCTCCTCAATGACAACCAAGGCTGTGTGCACATTATTGATCCCCAAACAGGGGCAATGGAGATGATTCAAAGCTGGTTTCGTGGTGTTGTTGTCGGAGCTATCCCGTTTGAGATCGACTGGTCGGCCTTCTTCATGTATCGCTTGGTGGGCAGTAGCATTGAGAGGACTAAATTTGGAGGAGCTATACTGGACTCTTTTTGGGAGGAATTGCTCGGGCGATTACTTTTGGGTTAGTTGTACTGCATGTGCCTCGTAAGAGCTACAAAAGTGTTAAGTTTTGTGTGTGACAGATGTTCTTACTTTTGAGCGTGAAGTGTGGCAAACTTGATGGACACGCAAATTAATTAAGATCATGGACACTGGCTACGGCTTCTTCATCGGATCAAGATGATGAAATTGCAGTGTGCAGCTTAATTTGTGCTTGAGGTGCAGAATGTCGTTCTCTCTGGGTTCTTTGAAGCTGCCCGTTTTGACATGTTCTTGTTTAGACATGGTGTGCTAGTTGAGCAAATGAATGGTGTTGTCTGTATTCTGTGAATTTCAATTATCTATAAAAAGGAAAGTTTCCAGTTAATTGTGATCAAAATTGACATGTTTGAACCTATAACACTATCTTGTTTTTTAATTCATCCATACTTCTCGATAAAACAACGCTCGGTGAAACAGAGGATTATGTTGACCCTATCTCATACACGAGCGGGTTGTAAATGAGTTGCTATGTAGGTACACCCCAGCTAAAAAATGTAGGTACTCCCCGACTAAAGTTAGTTGGCAGCGTCACAAAATGGTGTCCTTCCTTTTCCCTATGATGGAAGCCATGAATAGGTTGAACCAGCGGCGATGACATGAATCTTGATCCAATGCTACAAAAGATAGGGATATAACATTGATGCAAATAAATATCAATGGACTGAAATTAATAAACTACTCCCTCCGTCCCATAATATAAAAACGTTTTTGACACTACACTAGATCAGAATTTTGTAGGATGAAGTGTGTCGAAATTGTTCAGATGAAATTATATATGTGCAGTAACACATGCAGCAGCAGAGTGTGCATGAAGTAGTTCAAAGAACATCTAACATGATACAAGAATGGGGTAAGGTAGACTTAGATTGTTTCAGATTTCAGTTGAAGTGTTTTTATATTGCATTCGCTCCACCATTTACTTACTCAAATTTCTTTTATTTGCTGGGTCACAACTCACAAATCCCTGAAGAAAAACTCAAACCTTAAGAAAAGATCGAATGCAACATCCTCTGTTCTCTCTTCACATTCGTCTCCTTTGGGGTGCTATCATGTGATGTTCGCCCCTCAGGTCCATCTCTATTCACCCTGAGCCATGCACTCCATTATAGGCTGAAAATCCACCAACTAACCGATTGTTTCCCCTTTGCATGGACCAACCGAATATTTCCATCCTTCATAGAAGGTCATCCAGCTAATTAATATGGCATACATGAGAAGAAGCCTTCACCTAAATGTGAAGAGCTAGTGCTAGCCATGGTTTTGCATTTAAGTTTCAGAACTGTTTAGTCCATAGGCAAAATCACCTATTTTTCATTGAATTTTTGTGATTTTTGTTTTCACTAATTTCAGCCAAAACTTCCAGCAAAATTTGTTTGGGATATGAAAATTTTAAAAATAATTTGAGAAGTATTTGAATTTGCATGTACTACTGTAATTGCCAAAACAGCTTGGCTTGAAGTTAGACAATTATTTTAGTACCGAAATCAAGATTGTGTGTACATTGTAGATCTCCAACCTGGGGCGATGGAGACTGTCACCGACTGGTTTTGCGGCATTGTCACGATGCTAACCCATTACAGATGGATTGGCCGACCTTTTTCATGTCTCGCTTGGCGGGCGGTAGGATCAAGCGGAATAAACTGAGAGGAGCTACATCAAAATTTGCTGACTCGTTTTTGGGACCAATAGTTGTGTTAGTTATCTTGGGGCAATTGCTATGAGTTGGGCTTAGGAAGAGCTAAATAAATCTTCTGATATGCGTGTGGCACAGACTTACTTAATGAAGATGCAAGTTAGTTTATTATGTGTACCTGAGTATCAGCTACTGCATTGGTCATGGTGCAGCATCAAGGCAACGAACAAATGTTGCAAGGGTTGCCCTGCTAAATCAGTTCAAGAGGATAAAACTGCACACCATGTGCAAAATAATTTGGTCTTGGGGTGCAGAATGTTGCCTCTGTGTTTCATTGCCAGTTTTAACTTGCTAGCTGAACCTTTGATGTTCTGTTGAACAAGTAGTAATTAGGTGCTGAATTGTCGTTGTTATTACTGGAATCTCCATTTTGGCTGAGATGTACTAGCATACTCCTTTAGAGCAAGTACAATAGGAGTATATGATATCGTGTAGTGAGCTGGCTCTATAACTTGTAATTGACTACTATTAAGTGCAGGTGGGTGAAAGAGATAAAGCTGAACTTTAATTATTCCGAGTCACACAGTATGGATACCCGATTATAAATACCACAGGGCCGAAGAACCATACCATACACAAGCTAAGACATGGCCTTACAATGTACTCGTCGTATATATCAAAATCTTTTAACGCTCATCTCAATTCTCAATACATTGGCAGTTAGGTTTGGGATACATCTGGAATTTGTGTGCCAGCGGTTTCATCCCATTCGGTAAGCAAAAAATAGTGCAAGACCCTCTATGGTTCGTTGGACTCGATGTGATCCATATCTCTACACTTTTGAGGCTCGAGTTTGCACATTGCTCAAACATGTATTTCTGACCCCGGTACACTTGCATTATACTAGTACACAACACAAGAACAGGGACGGCCGATGAACATATATGCTACGTATAAATCTAATTCATAAATCAATCAATACAAGTGTTTTTATCTGTAGATTTGATCAACAATACT